TCCACTCTTCCCACCCCCACCCCCCAATGCTGGGACTGCCAGTATGCACCTCCCCCAGCTCCCTGACATACTCCTGGATACCCCAGTTGCCGTGATTAATCCTATTGTCAACCTGACTGCAATCCAGAAAAACCACTTCTGGGAATGGCTGTGAGGGTACCAAAGTTCAACTGGGGGCGGGGGCACGACGACGACACACTAAAGATTCACCTTAACCATGAGGTCCTGGCTGAATAAAAAGGAGTATGTTGGGCACCAGCATTCATTTGCCTCTGCTTCTTCACTGTGGGTGCGGTGACCAGTGGCCGCACCCCCAATGCCACACCGCCCCCCCCCCTTTCCCCATTCGCCAGCTTTGGCACAAGCTGATCTTCAACTTGCAGGCTCAAGGATTTCCCCCAAGACCTCCCAAGCGGCTGGGACTGAAGAGACATACAACTGCCCCCAGCCAGTCTTCTTTCTAGTGTATGGGTTGACGAGTCTTAGCATGGAGTGAATAGGGACACTGTCCTTCGCCCGCTCCACGTCTAGTAAGCTTTCTGTACTGCGGGGCTGGAAAGTCTCCCAGACCATGCTTGCAGGTGCAATTCTCTATGCAGGACAGACCTCCTGAGGTCTGGACCTAAGGTACAGGGCACCTACCTACCCATTGCTACTGCTCACTCTGCTGAGAAGTCACGGAGGAGAGTTATCTGGGTTTCCTGCAAGGCTTTTCTGACAGCTACTCTGGGGAGGCTGAGGAACAGCAGGGGTGGTGACGCCTTAACAACTTCCTCCCTGTTGTCTCTTCTTGACATGTGGCAGAGCTGGTAGTTACTAGGCAGGTTAATTCTGCAGTGTTCAAGAACTCATTCCCAGAGATAAGCCTGTAGTCCACTTCTTTATATAGTCCACTAACTTAAAAGATAATAAAGTTTTCAGTGGGACATAGTGGAACGTATCTGCAGTTCCCGTAGATGAAGGCTGAAATGGGAGGGGTGCGTCTGGGCTACCTAGTGAGACCATGTCTCCTAAGACAGGACAAACCCAAACCAACAAAAATCCCACCATGACCAAAAAACGTCTGTACATTTTTAAATGTATTAAAAGTAGACATTATAGACAATGCCCATGCTGTCTTCAACAGGTACTTAGGCCCAAACTGATTTTGAGACAGGATCTCCCTCTATAGCTCAGGGTAACTATAATTCATGATCCTCCTGTCTCTCTGCCTCTTAAGTGCTAGAATTACTGTGTATGCCACACCAGCCTGTATTCAGTCTTGGTTCATAAGTATCCCCGCCCCCTCTTCTCCATTGCCTCACCTCTGCCTGGGAACCAAATTCAATTCATGCTAGGCAAGCGCTCTACCACTGGGCCATAGTCTAGCCCAGTTATCCGCCCACCACCTATGTTGAAACAAACCCCAACCGAATCATTTTTAGCATGCACGTTTAAAGCAGTGCTCTTTCCAAAGTTCGATGTGATTATGCATCCACTCAGTGTTCACACTGTTAACCGTCTTTTACTGTAGTACAACTTGCTTTGTTTTGCCAAGCCAGTACCCAAATAAAGCCCACAGACTACAAGCGGTTGACACATTTCAAGCCTTAATGTCTAAATCCTCCCTTAGTCTGGGTGTTCCTCTTTCTGAAATTGCTTTGTACCCACTCCGTATTTCGGTGGCTGTGCCCAATGGTTTGGTAGTTCATACTTTAGTCTTCTGTAATTCCCATAAATTGCTGGGTACAAAAGCTTCATTAGGCTTCATCCTCCAGGATGGAGGTGAGTTCTGAGACCTGCATTAGCCTCTGCCAGGTAGCTAACGATGGCATCAGCAGTCTGGGGGAGGAAAGTGGGTTCGCTGCTTTCTGACTAGCGTGGGTTATGTGACTTCAGGCCACCAAAGAGGAAAACCTTGCAGCCTTCTGGGGTGGGAAGACAAAAGCATCTCATTTATTCTCATCCCTTCAAGGATGAAGTCCTTCAGGGTGCTAGTTTTACAGGGTGTCTCTTATTAGTCCCAAGTGTTCTGGGCTTTGTCTCCGGTCTCATGCCCCAAACTCAAACTGAGTTGCGATCAGAGGCCCCGTTTGCAAAGGGTGCTTTCCCTGGTTTTGGCATAACCCTAATAACTTGCCAACTATGTGATAGTTAGTGTTAATACTTTCACTCGGAATTTGTGGTTTTCTCAACCCCCACAATGCATCAGTCCAAGTATGTACAAAACACTCGCATATCTCATTGGACAGGTCATACTGGTGTAGCAGTCCCAGACTAGCCTTAAGCGTCCTTCGAGGAGCACGAAGTGAAAGCCATGTCATTTAGTCCTTTCCTAAAGAACACAAGGCTGCAGTCCCCAAGGGTCCCCTCATGCTGCGAGCAGGACTTGTTCCCATAGCTAAAGACTATCAATACTTTTTGTTTTCTTTAGAAGGCATCCTACATTTCTCGGATTTTTTTTTTTTTAAAATATGGACACTTTAGAATGTCATTCTGATAGAACTTCACCAGTTAGACCACTGATAGAAATGCAAGGCACACACCTGAAGACGTGTGCAAAAGCAAACGGCTTTCGCGGACACGGTTACCAGAAAGCTGCTGGGATGCCATGGGGAAGAACGTATCGAGTGCTACCTTCCACCCCCCTCTACCAGCTTCTTGCTCGGCCTGCAGCTGTCCCTTGCCCCTGACAGAAGACAGACCACCGACGGTCACGGCCAGCCACTGCTCATCCTTTAGGTAGTGAACGTGTCTAGACTGTGACACCAGTAATTTTAAAGAACTGGGGTTTCGTTGGCTGTTAAAACTACATAATTTCTAACAAATGAAAGAAGCTGGGGTTACCACGAGAGCTCCAGAACCTCGGCAGAAACAAGGTACGGAGTCTGTGAACTCACCCAGAGACTAAGGTGTGGTACGGAGTCTGTGAACTCACCAGAGACTAAGGTGTGGGCTTCCAGACATTTCAACCCTTTGCTTGCAGGCTGAGTCCTCAGAGGCAGACAGAGCCCCGTCTCCCCGCCTGTTCAACTTGCTGCAAATCACATGCACTAAATACTGAGCTTTTGGACATGGATGTAGTAACAAGGGAGGCGTAAGGTGATGTGCAAATGGACTAAGGAAGCATTATCACAAGAAATAACCTACAGGCCTCATCAAGTTGTCAAATCAAAAGTGGTCCTGTTAGCAGTTAAATTATGAACCTGAAATCCATTCCCTCGGCCATATTGATCATCAAAATATGTAACATAGTGGGGTTTATTACTCTTGAGTATTTAGAAATTATCAGCCACCTGCTAAAGGAATACATTAAGACCTAATTTCTACATATTTATATATCATAGTAAAAATAATAAGGCAGAGACAGCTATTCGTTCCCCTCACATTCATTTTCTTTCTTTCAAGAGAACGCTCAAAACTTAAATATAGGGCAGCCTGTAGTAGGCAACTTTGCAGCCTTTCTTGTAGGTACATGTGACACCATAACTGCATTTTGGCTAGTAAGATACAAATAGAAATGTCCTACAGCAGCTCACAGAAATACCTCTCATATTGCTGCCACTACCTACTGCCACCTTCCTGTCCTTCTTCCAACAAAAAGAAGTCGTTTGTGGCAATATTTTAATTGTGCTGAAATGTCATTTTATTTGTATGTTAATAAATAAAGTTTGCCTGGAGATAGAAGTCAGGCGGTGGTAGCCCAAGCCCTTAATCCGATCACATGGCAGGCAGAGTCTCTGTGTGGTCAAGGACACAGCCAGGCGTGATGACCCTTGAGTCTTTAATTCCAGTACCAACCATAGAGACCTGGAGGTCTGTATAGACAGGCAGTGACGAGGAAGTCATGCGGTTTGGTTTAGAGCCAATGAGAAGGCAGAAAAGAAAGGCAATAAAAAGACAAGTCACACAGGAAGAAGGTCTCTCTCAGGGGAAGGACGACAGCCAGTGGTAAGCTAAAGGTAGTTGTGGCTATTGCTCTGATCTCTTAGGCTTTAACTCTGTATTTCTTATGTAATAAGACCGTTTAGAATTTCGTCTACAGTCCTTAGAGGCCTAGGTATGGCAGGAAACTAAAAGGACCTTAAATCCTCCAAAAAGAGCATTCACATCAATCCTAGATCTTTATCTCTGTCACCTAATATCAAGAGAGAAATAAACCATTATGTTTTAGCATAGTACTTGGTGCCCCCTAAATACTGGCTTTCTTTGAATAAAGGACAAAGGCAACTTCATAAATGGGAGATTTTCAAACATGCTAACCAGCCACCCCTGCCACTTGGTTTTTTGTTTGATTGTTTGTTTGTTTGTTTTAATTATTCTTATTTGAGACAGAGTCTCACTACAGCTCCGTCTGTTCTGGAACGAGCTATAGACCAGGCTAGCCTTAGACTCACTGAGACCCACCTACCTGTGCTGCCTCCTGAGTGCTGGGTTAAAGGTGTGCACCACCCACCCCCCCCAGCTCACCCCTCCTTTTTAAGGTCATCTGCAGCCGGTACACACTAGGAGTCAGATAATCTAGGTTGGAGTTGTACCAGTTGACTTTCCTGGTCCTGTATGTCTCTATCCATCTATGTAAGAAGATCCCTTAGAGAGCCACAGTAAATAAATGTGAAAGCATTAGGCAATATAAATCACTATACACATACTAACCGGTAAGAATATAAGCTACCTGTGGGTAGAAGCTGTCTTAACACTGCATCTTCAGTAACAAGTGCTCATTAGACATTTGTTGAATAAATACTTTAACATCTTTGATAACTGACAAAATTATTCTGCTTTTTTGAGGGATAAATGGTAACTCCTAATTTTGATGTCAGTCAGACAGTGCACGAGTGTGAAGAGTGAGGCCAGAGGTGAACCCACTCACAAAACCAACACAGGCTGGCACAGTTGTGCACCAGTGGAAACTTGATGACACTGTTCCCAGAGACCCACAAGGGCACAGGCAAAAATATCCTTTAAGATTTAAGCCACTAAACTTACCACATCAAACGAAGGATTTCCTCACACTGAACTGTGACTAAAGCATTTTATTAAATTAAGTGTGTAATTTGCAAATGGTTTCATAAGAAATTTTAAAAGCAAAGTTATAAACATTTTCAATAAAAAAGTACAGAGTTGACAGCAAAAATCACGTTTTTATAGTACAAATAAAAACATTTGCTTCTGATATACTGTCCGAGCAGCTTATAGTCTATTCTTCAACTGCTAGCTGCAATGTGGCACGTGACTGAGACGTCTCAGGGTAAACAACAACAACAATAACAACAACAGGTTCATCACTGACCGCGGCCGTCAACTGTGAGGACACAATGGATGAACTGAGGTCATGAGGCGTTAGGACACAGATGTTCCAGCCTTGCTTCTCTAGTCCCTTCTGTAAAGAGGCATCAAGTAATACTGTAAACTTAAATTACACCTTAAAAATGAGCACCAGTAACATACATTCTACATCGACTTACTTTTCCTTTTAAATGGCACTTGGTTTTGGCCACACAGACATTTAAATCTGTTTTCTTTACAAGTAATTAAAAATAAGCAACATTTAAGCACAGCACAGAGCATTATCAAATGTCATCTCATTGCACTACAGAAAAGCACTTGGAAAAAACAGCACACATTATTTTTGTCTGTTTCATACGTTTTCTTGAGAGCAGTTAAAACATTGTCAGAACAATTTTTTGAATTGCCAGCTCAGAAATAACTAACCTTGTCATTACATATGTCCTTCTAAAGCAAACAGAACACCTGAATTTAAAGAGAAAAAGACCAAAACAAAGGTCAGGAAACCACCCAAAAGAACGGGAAGCTTTTCTTCTCCTATATGTTAGAATACAAATCATTTCAGCCCGTTTCCACCATTTAAAGTGGATGATACTGAAAAACAACAGGAGTATAAGTATTGTGGGAATACTAATAAACAGAAGAAAACTTCAACTCGAAAATAACAGCAATATATGAACAGCTAATAAATGTCAGAAGAAGCAGGAAACGGGCTGAAAATGGTCGTGAGGGCCCTGGCCCTGCGGCCACTCCGTGGTGTTCCTATCAGTTCCCTCCTCTCCCTGGGTTGACACCAGTAACAGACTATTAGATGTGTGTAACTGCTACCGAGATCTTCCAGTATTTTGGAAGAAATGCTATACTTTTAAAATGCATTAAAATACTAGGCTTACAAAGAGTTCTTCTAACCTGGATCATTTCTAAACCATCTTTACCTCTGACATACAAAATTTAGAAGTGGGCAAAAGAAAAATACCTGATAGTCCCCAAAGTATCTCTACCTCTGGCCGGGACATGAGATTTAGAGATTGGCAAAAGAAAGATCAGAGAATATTCTTTCATAATTGTAACTGCTTAAACAATACCAGATAGTAGGGTGGGAAGGCATTTGGGGACTATAAATATATATATATATATAATGTTCAAACTTTGTGTATGTATAGATAATAACGAAGGACACGAAGCCAGCATGGCTAAGCACACCTATAATCTCAACTTTAGGGGGGAAGGCGGAAGGATGGCGAGTGTGTGGCCAACTTGGTTCAAGGTCTCCATTAGGTCACTCCATCACACAGCAGCGCCAGCAGAGTTCAGAATCAGGCCGGGCACAGCAATAAAGCAGCTGCCTTCCCTTGCCCTCCAAGCACGGAGCACCACATTGGACTTCTTTTCATTGTTCCCTTATTAATAATACTCACAGTAATGTAAGAAGTCTATCTAAGTACTCAAGTGTGATTTTTAAAAGGTGAGAAAACATACAACACAGAAAATGAGTGTGCAGCCGCACACACTCCAGTCATGCCAGGTTAGTGTTGTTTCTCGTTGTTTAAATCATACTAACTTGAAAACAGGAATAAGCTTACTTCATTAACTACTGATTGTGGGTTTTGTACTAAGCTGTACAAGGGAACTGCTTTAATTTTAATATATATATATATACCACTTCTGAGCAATACCAAAAACAGTGTGAGACACTACTGCAATTTTTAAAACGAATTATTACAAGTCTAAAAATATAACTACTTGAATATCAGTAATCACTAACCATTTGTAGGTAAGAAACATATAGATGTTTTGTTTTTATGGCAATAAAATCCAATGGTAAGGCTCGTATTTGAAAAGCATGATTCCTAAGATGTAAGAACGTGGTTTTGAGTTTCGTTCCCGTTAGCTTGTCTGCTCTCTAGGGGCTCATTCTGTCTGTCAGTATCCTTTCAGTGCAGGGCAATGCCGCCTCATTTTTGATGACGGTGATTTTGTAAGCTAAAGAAAAAGCAACATAATTGTCTGCAAACACTGTATATGTTGAAAATACTCTGTATATCCAAAGTTAAATGTATTTTAACTACAGTCTCGTTATAGAAAAGTTACACTTCACCAAACTAAGTCTGTATAAAGGAAGTCAGATTTACATACGATCAGGACACTGGCCTAACAGAAGTCAATGAGACTTTTCTTTCACAAAGTTGGCTCCTTTTCAAAATAAAGGTAAAAAATCTTTCTAATTACAAGAGTTTCTTTTACAGTTATACCAAAAACAGTTTTCACACTTAAGTCAATAGGATTTTTGACTCACATAGCTTAGAAATGATGTCTCAAGTATAAAACAGGCCTTTAGCACTGTCTGGAGCCACTCAGAGACGGTTCCACAAGCAGTCCTGTGACCATTTCTCCTTCTCTGAAGGGTTTCCTATCTATGGAAGCTAAGAGACTGTAAGTCAGTCTCAAGAACCAACTCTCCTCCCAACAAAAGCACATCACAGAACAGCACAGACGGAAGGGATTGATATCAGAGACACAGGAAAGTTGCCCATCTATCTGCACATCACGCAACACCAAGTGACTCTGTGACAGGCTTCAAAATTCCAAAGCACAAGGAACCCGTGTTCTGCTGATCACCTTCCTCCTTCACCACTTGAGGACAGTCCTTCAGAGCCAGGAAGCAGGGTTCAAAGCATGCTGCCCCTCACGGACAGCTACAAGACTTTTCTAAATGGGAAAGGGTTAATACAAAGGCAGTGGATCTGTTGTTGTTGTTTTGGGTTTTTTTCCTAAAAACCAACTAGAGCACTTAAGACTTTTAATCTGCAAGTGATAACTTTTTTTTTTAGACATTTTGTAATCAATAAAAATTCCTTTTAATGTTTTAACAAATAATAGACTGGCATTTGAGCCAGTAAAAAACTTTCCTTGAATTCTGAAAAACATTTTCCTTGTTTTATATTCCTAATAAAACACATTTGAGAGTAGAATTGACAGAATTACTGCAGAAAAAACAATTTCAGTCTGTAAACCTTCATGCCTCTAAGTCAAGGGCTTCTAAATTTCACTTTAGCATCACCTTCAAGCACCCTGGCTTAATTTCAGAGAACCTGTAGAAATGAGAAAAAGAGTTATTGGAAATGTACACATTTCAAGCTACTTAAGAAACATACCTTGTAATCAATTCAAATGACCTATACTTAATATTTATTACTAACATTGCATCCTTTATTAACGTTCAGGACCAATATCTACGTTTGCAAACCCCGATTTATTGTCAAAGCAAATACAACCCTAAAGCTACCAGTTCCTCCTAGATCACCAGTCAATATAATTTATGATTTTTCAAAACTTCTCAAGCCTGAATTTGACCATCATGAAGAAGGTCGGCCATATGAAAGATAAGACGGTGTATTACATTATTTCTGTACATCAAGAAAGCACCATGGAGAAACCTCTGACGTAGCAGACAGGTCTCATTCATCTGGCCACGCAAGGCTTGAGGCTGTCCTGTGTCAGTTTCAGCAGGCACACCAGGAGCTAAGATGCCCGTTCCATGACAAAGCTCTAAGCTACCCAACCCAACTGTAAAACCAGCCCGAGAGGCTTCTAACTTTCACTCACAAAAGTAACGCTGTTATTTTCCAAAAGGAATCAAGTAATATCTCACTGCATGGCAGATACACAAGTCTTACACTAACTGAAACTGGAAGACTGGGAGGACAAGGAGAGACTTAAAGATTGGTATTCTCGAAGAATCTATTCAGCAACAAAGCTTTATATCTGGAATTTCCCTTGTCAGTTTCTATTACTGACTACAGTGGAAGGACAATTGGCATCTGTCAATAAAATCATTAATGCATTTAACTTATGAGGACATAAAATTTACTTAGGACTTCTGCTAAAGTTGAAACACATCCAAATTAGAACTATTTCAGCCAAAGGTCCACAGATACACTCTGTCTTTCAAAATGAACCATCCCCCCCCACCCCCCAAGACAGAGTTTCTCGGTGTAGTTTTGGTGCCTGTCCTGGAACTCGCTTTGTAGCCCAGGCTGGCCTCAAACTCACAGAGATCGGCCTGGCTCTGCCTCCTGAGTGCTGGGATGCGCCACCACCGCCCGGCTCAAAATGAGCAAGTCTTAAGCTCCTCTCGTGTCTAGTTCTGCGGGGAAGCTCACTACAAAGGAACGCGAGGAGACCTCATTTTCACAGTTTTACATCTATGACAGAACGTCTTAGCAGATCACCACTGACCAAAGCCATGGTTCCCTTTGATTTCTCATTCACCAGACAGCATGAACCTGCCAGGAAGTTACCCTTTACCCACCGCGTGGTGGCTGAAATCGGATCGCTGGACTGCGGTAGCCCAGTCTCCACTCACCTGAAGCTGTGGCTGGTGAGGTATTTAATGACAGCTGGCTTGATGCGAGCAACTCCTCCCTGGCTGTGGTTTCCTCTCCCCGTAATCACGGAAAGATAGGGCTTACCGCCGCTCTGCTTAAAGTCTATTAGAACAGGAACAGGAGCAGTTAGAAGTCATTTCCGACATCTCAACACAAAGTCCATTCAAAAGCATATGAAATGACTTCCATGGTGTTTTAGAGATTGAAAGCCTAAAGGGAAAAGTTGTTTTGAAAGCACACAGAGCCTCAAAGCAATTTATCCACTGAAAGACTTAAGGACTAGGCCTAGCAGCACACGCCTGGTAGCAGGCTGAGAGACAAGGATGTAGACTTGGGGGCAGCCAGGGTTACAAGGTGAGTTTGAAGTCAGTACATAGGGAGACTCTGTACCAGGAAAGAAAAAAATAATAAGGCTCAAGTTAGGAGACCAATTTCCATTCTCTACAAGTCTTTCTGAATAATAATGACAGCAATATTAATTATATCTAAAAAATTATAGCCTGGGCTAAAGAGTGAGTTCCAGGAAAGGCACAAAGCTACACCTGAAAGAAACCCTGTCTTGGAAAAAAAAATATTAACACACGTGGACCCAGACACTGTTTTACATGACATATTTTCGTGAACTGGAATCTGTAGGGAAAAGGAGCCAGCTAAAGAAACCTATCCTGACCCTGGAGCCCAGAACCACTGAAAGAAACACAACCTAGATCTGGGACTCGAGTCAGAGAAATAAACACTTTATCCCTGAACCCAGAACCAAAGAAACATGCCCTGACTCTGAAACCAGTGCCAAAGAAACACTCTTTGTCTCTGGAATCAAAGCCAGTGAAAGAAATATGCCCTGGCCTTAGAATTAGAGCCAAAAAGCTAAGAAAAGCCAGTGAAAGAAACAGTTTGGCTCTGAAATCAGAGCCATCTCTGCCCCAACCCACAAAACTAACCAATTACTGAGCATAAACAAACTAACCAATTCCTGGACAGAAAATCTTCTCCCTGGAGAAACTCCACCCCTAAGAAATCCTATATAAACCACCCTGCCTATTCAGTTGTCCACTGTTCTTTCCTACCCTGGCAGAGGCAGCCACTCTGCGGGACTCCTCCTTCCCAAATAAATCTCTTTCTCAAAAGAGTCTTGGGTATGAAGATCTTCATTCGCTTGGCACAGAGAAGAACCACCTTGCTAAGACGTCCCTTAGGGAACTGAGCAAGGTGAAGCAGAAAAAGTAACAACTTTTCCCAGAGCCAGAGGAGACTGCTACATTTCTGCCGGGGTTTCCCCTTTAGCAGAAAGGAGCAAAAGAAGCAACATCTTGGCCGGAGAAGCAGCACAGCTCTGCTGGGAAGCCCCCTTAAGTGGGGGTTGAGCAAAGCTCTGCTGTAGCAGCTCTCTAGGAGAGGAGCAGGATTGCTGTATCCTGCCAAGAGACCATCTCTCTCCCCACTCCCAACTCCAGGTATCGCCTGATTTCCCTGAGCAGTCTGGACGCCTTCCCCTCCAGAGCTGAGCTGTCCTATCAGCTCTAAGTATCGCCTGACTCTCCCGAACAGTCTGGACGCCTTCCCCTCCAGAGCTGAGCTGTCTGTCCCACTGCAGCTCCGGCTGCCAGAGCTGTCCTAACAGTCAGGACATCTTTCCTCTGTAAGCTGCAACACTCGCTTACAATTTCTCCATAACCTTATTAATGAAGTATTTTTAAGCCAACCAAATCAGCTTTTGTATGAATCACAGTTCTGCCACAATTAACTATGTGTGACCATGTTTCTTGGTGCCTGTTTTTTCTTCACATTAGGAAAGGGAGATATTAACAGCCACTACTTTATAGATTATCTTCCAGAAGCAGCTAGCTATTAGCAAATCTAATTTTAACATGGTCCTTCTATCAAAGATAATCCATTGTTAAATTTTTCCCAGGAGATTTTTTTTTAAATACTGAATAACTCTGATATCTCTCTCCTTTTTTGTTTGTTTGTTTTGAGACAAAATTTCTTTGTAGCCCTGGACATCCTGGAACTCACTATGTAGCCCTGGCTGGCCTCAAACTCAGAGGTCCTCCTGCCTCTGCCACTGGGATTAAAAGGCGTGCACCACCACCGCCCACCAACACTGATCTCTTTAAAGAATGCAGCTGCTATTTCATATTTAACCTTGGGAAGGTAAATATATAAATTCTGAAATCAATAATAGCTCTAATAGAATAACAACAACAAAACCAAAAAGTCCTATTGATAATAAAGTACTTAATGTAACAGACTTGTTTCTCATTCATAAATAGCCTAAGTTTTTATCTTTAAATAAAATATATGTATAAAACATTAAACATTTCACATTCTGTGTTCATTAAGTAACCTTAATCAAATAGAACCAAAATATTGTTTTTCAAGTCTTGTTACATACAAGGCAACACTTGGCTTGTAATTTTATTTATTTATTTGTTTGTTTGTTTATCTACTTACTTATCTGAGACAGGGTCTCATTATATTGTCCTGGTTGGCATGGAATTCACTATGGATACCAAGCTGTCTTGTAACTTACAGTGATCTGCATGGGCCACCATGCACTGGAATTTTAAAAGGATATGTTGTTAGGACAGGAGGGTTCTGAGTCCAGGATTAGCCTGGACTACCAACACAACAAGGGCCTGCCCTGAAGAAAACTGACGGCGGCTTCCATTTCAGTTTCCTCACGGCACCTTCACCCCCATCCTCACGGCACCTTTACCCCTACCTCCTTACCGGGGAGTCGGTCAGCCAGCACCTCTCTATTGATAGTTCACAGCTGCTCTGAAAATGCTCTTCAGCTGATTCGCATACCTACCTCAAAACACAGGGCAGCTCAACAGAGACTTGTCTTATTAATGCATTGTTTACTGTCTACAATTACAGACAGCTCCTGGTATTTATCACCTTTGAAACAACTGTTTAATTTAGTATTAAGCACATTCCAGACTGCTAATAATTTTAAACTACAAATGCTCAAATGACTTTCAAAGAGGACTTCTCTAAAAAATTATAACAAGCCAGGCAGTAGTGCACACCTTTAACCCCACCACCTGGGAGGTAGAGGCAAGCAGATCTCTGTAAGTTCAAAGCCAGCCTGATCTACCCAGTGAGCTCCAGGTCACCCAGAGCTACATAGAGAAACTCTGTCTCACAAATGAAAAAATAAAAAAACAAAAAACCCCTCAATTTTCACCTTATTAACCAATTACCTGAAACGTGTTTATGGAGTGATTTTTTTTTTTTAAATTGGGGTTGAAATAACATTTCATTCAGCTAATTTACTTGTTTTTTGTTGTTGTTTTGGGTTTTTTTTTTTCTATGTTTTTTCTTACTAAGTAGCCGCCCCCCCCCCCACTGGCCTTAAACTCAGAGTGATTCTGCTATCTCACCCTATCAAGTGCTGAGATTACAGGTATGAGCCACCATGTCCCACTTGATATATTTGCTTGTTTTATTTTCGAGACAGGGTCTTACTATGTAGCCCTGGCTGTCCTGGAACTCACTCTGTAGACCAGGCTGGACTCAAACTCAAAGATCCACCTGCCTCTGCCTTCTGAGTGCTGGGATTAAAGGTGTGGCCACTGTGCCAGGCTGATGTATGTTTCAGGCAGCTATAAATCCAAAGGTTTTCCTCCCCTTTATTTTTCTTTACTTCTACTTTTTAAAAATAGCTACATATCCTAGATTTTCCGTCTTTATTTTGCTGACTGTATCTTCGTGATAACACCGAACTTGTCCCTCTGTCCCCTGTGAATCCCTATTACTAACTGCATCCAAACTCTTGACTCTCCGGTTTATCTGAGGGCAGAAATACTACAGGGGGGGGGGGGGGGGCGTGCACTTCACTCCCATGGCACACAGGACCCAGACGTCTCTAGTCATCCTCAGCTGTGAGAGTGCTTTTATGTTAGGTCTAAAACTAATGCAAGGATACCCCCAGATTCCTCCCCTTACCCCAAACACTTCTATTCAGCAATCCTGCCATCTGGTGGTAAGTGGAAGACACTCTACCACAAGCATACACACGATGGCTTTGCCTTCAGAAAACCATTTGCACCTTGGGTCTGAATAAATGCTACTCTGGACAAGTTACTGAATTTTTTTCTATAAATTTTTATTAATATAAAGTTCAAATAACATAATACTCTCCGTTTTAAAAATTTACAGTCCAGCTGAGCCTGGTGATCAAAGTCTTACTGGAAGCTACTCGGGAGGCTGAGGCAGGACACTCTCAAGTACAAGGTTAACCTGAGCTACACCAGCCTGGGTAACTTAGTGACATCTTGTCTCAAAACAAAACAAAAAATCCTTATTATTTAGTAGTGTTTGTTGTTGTGGCTTTTTAGCATCTCAACAGCGCTACAGCCACACAATCAACACTTGCCCCTCTCGATACTCCCTCCTCTCAAGAAGAACCACGTGCCTGTCAGCACTTCGTTCCTATCACCAGTTCCAGCCCGAGCGGTCACTATCTACTTCCGGTCTCTGAGGACATTTCATATAAATGCCACTTTCCGTAGTGGCCTTCTTCTAAATACAGCATTCTTACAAGTCCATCCATGTATGAGAACTCCATCTTCATGGACAAAACCCCATTAAATAGATCTACTACGTTCTGCCTGCACGCACGCACGCACGCACGCACGCACGCACGCACGGACAAACAGGGTTGAACCTAGAAGGCATTACGCTAAGTGGAATTAGCCAGACTGAAAGAAAAGACTACACGATGTCACATGTGGAATCTGAAAGGTGAAACTCATCGAAAGATAGTAAAGTGGTAAAGACAGTAAAACAGAATGATGTGGCCAAGGCACCCGTTTCCACTGTGGGATGCAGTTCTGAGATCTAAAGCACAGCATGGCAGCTATCAACACTGCCCCACTGTGTAAGTGCTAAGTCCTTCCTACACTGCAGTCTGCTTTCCTCTTAAAAGAACTCCTCACCCATTCATGGTCTTAGTCACTCTTCTACTGCTGTACAGAAACACTGTAACCATGGCAACTTATGCAAGGATGTTGATTGAGCGCTTACAGTTCCAGAAGGTTACAGTCCATGACCATCCTGACACAGTGCTGAGCAGCGGCCTGGAGCTTACATCATTATCCAGCAGTATGAGGCAGAGAGCTAACAGGGATGGTCTGGGCTTTTGAAACCTCAAAGCCCTCCCCACAGACACATCTCCTCCAATAAGGCCACACCTCCTAATCCTTCCCAAACAGTCCCACCAACTGGAGACTCAAATACATCCAAACCATCACATCCATAAACTCACTAGTTTACCAGGTAATTAGCCTGCAGTGATGTCCTTAGCTTTTCTATCATGGATTCTTTATCTGGATTGAGCATTTGTTTCTATCTCCCAGTATCACACCACATCATCTCCTGACACCAAGATTTTAGCTTTTAAAAGTACTGGGGTACTGGCCTGGAGAGATGGCTCAGCAGTTACAAGCCATCACTGCTCTTATAGAGGACCCAAGTTCGGCTCCAGCACACACAGAGGCTCACAATCATCCACAATTCTAACTCAGGGATCCAATGTCCCCCCTTCTGACCAGGTAAACAAATAGTACACAGATATTCATGCAAGCAAACTATTCAGACACATATAATAAATTTAAAAAATTTTAAGCTCTGGGGTAGGAAGATCTGTAAAACAATTTCAGCTAAAAAATACAGAATTTTTTTTTAAAAAAAATTATAACTTGATGGGCATGGTGGCCTTTAATCCTAGCACTTGGGAGGCAGAGGCAGGCAGTCCTCTGAGTTTACAGACAACCTGATCTACAGAGAGAATTTCAGGACACAGAGAAATGCTTCAATTAAGAGAGGAAAAAACAAAACAAGAAAGCAAACAAGAAATTGTAACTCCATCATGCAACCACCAATGTAATAATTTACTTGGCCAAAGGCCATCAACAGATGCTAAAACCAGTAGATAAAATATTCTGATAACAGTGGTTAAGAGTCACAGAGTATCAACCATAGAAGACTACTAATTAGCTGCCAACAAGGTTAGGGTATATTTTCATCCACAGAGAAATCTGATACAAGTCCTCACTTAACTAAGGCATCCAACAACCTCTTCAATATTAGGACAAACTGGCCATGAATGTCTCCTGATCTATTCACCAAGAGCAGCTGAAACATTACCAATGTAACCAAAATAGTTTCTAAAGATACCATACAATATAACCTAGGGTGGCCTCTCCAGTCACCCATGTAGTATATAAAAAAAAATAAAAAAATTAAATTCAATCTGAGTGTCTAAAGAAAAGGAAATAGTTACACACATTTGAAATGTAGGGCATAAGCTTGGAGCCTGCATAAATGTCAATGGCATTGAAGAAAAAAAGAGGCCAGCGGTGGTGGTACACGCCTTTAATCCCAGCACTCAGGAGGCAGAGCCAGGCGGATCTCTGTGAGTTCGAGGCCAGCCTGGGCTACAGAGTGAGATCCAAGACAGGCTCCAGAGCTACACAGAGAAACCCTGTCTCGAAAAACAAAAAACAAAAAAAACCATTTCATATTATAGCAAAGTATTTAGGATAATCAACTAAAACATGCTCTACCTGACTAGATCCCACAGAGAAAGAGGAAAGACACAGCTATGTAAGACAGTATAGCCTGGGTGCTAGACAAAATGTCACTACTGATGTCCGGGTCTTTAAAATAAGAGAGTAATGGCTAGACAGGAGAATGAATCTATCCTCAAGAGTTATACCTGCACAGGTATGTGGAATTAAATCACCACAACATCTACAACTTATTTTCAAATGGCTCAGCAAAAACACAACTTTTCAGGGGCTGGGGAGATAAGTGTTTTAAAGTGTACTGGTACAGCCCAGTGTGGTGCGCACACCTGTTGATCCCAGCATTCCATCCGGAGCCAGAGGTAGGTGGATCTCTGGGAGTTTGAGGACAGCCTGGGCTACATAGAGAGTCCAGGACAGCCAGGGATAGATAGAGGAACTCTGTCTCAAAAAAAACTTTCTCCACCAAAAAAAAAAAAAAAAAAAAAGTGTGGGGCTGGAGAAATGGTTTAGCAGTACTGGCTGCTTTTCCAGAGGACCCAGGTTCAATTCCCAGCCCCCACATGGCAGCTCACAACTGTCTTCAACTCCAGTTCCAGGATATCTGACACCCCTACAGATATACATGCAGGCAAAACACGAATGCACATAAAATACATACATCTTCTAAAAATGAAACACAATCCTGTCACACAAACACAAAGACCTGAACTCAATACCCAGCATCCATGTAAAGCTCAGGGCAGTGGTGCCTGACTGTCATGTCAGCGCTGGGAAGATTAACAGGAGGGACCCTAGATTTGCTGGACAGTCAGTCCATCAAATCAACAAGGTCCAGGTTCAGTAAGAGACCCCACCACCACCACCACCACCTCTACCCCCACCCCCCCCCCCCCGCCCTCAAAACATAAGGTAGAGAAAACAAAAAGGAATCACATATACTGAACAGAGGAGTGTGTGTATATAGTGAAGATATTATTATTATTATTATTTTTGGTTTTTCTCTGTGTAACTCTGGCACCTTTCCTGGAATTCACTCTGTAGCCCAGGCTGGCCTCAAACTCACAGAGATCCACCTGCCTCTGCCTCCCAAGTGCTGAGATTAAAGGCGTGCGCTACCAGTGAAGATATTTTTAATGGGCAGGAAGGATACAGAATATACTTTATGACGTTGCTTTCCATTAGAAAAGAAAGGAAGAGAGAGATTGGAGATAAGTGTAATAGGAAGCATTTTTAAAATGAGAAACAGTAAAATGTCTGCACTTTCGTTACTGGATTCACTGGTACATGGGCATTTTTTATATTATTCTGTAACCTGTTCAACATAGTTGCGATGTTTCAGAATAAGCAGACGAATTTTCAACCTTATATATCAACCCTATTTCATCACAAGTGGTATGAACTGAATTGGTTAGTGTATATATAAGAATGACAAGGCAGGGCATCTTTATAATTCCAAACTTCTCTAGTAATAACAAAGAGATGACCTCCACTATCAGTGTCCGAGATAACGAAAACAGGTTGCCCTTCCTATGGAACACTACCCACTGATGACGAAAATGAAGCAAGACATTATACCAACAAGACACTTCACACGGGAAATGCATGACACTGAATGGGGTCTAGAAGAAGCCCCAGCTGAGGGTCCTGGGAAGATGCAGAACTTAGGAGACTGCAGGTGTGACCTTTCCTACTGACCCTGTGACTAGGTACCAGCAGGAGGAAGAGCAAGGACACACTGCAGGCACCTAGGAAGTCCGCCTCGGGGAGCGATTCTGCCAAACCCCTGTCACCTCGCTTACTTTTGGATCTGAGCAAACACCTACTGCAGACAATATTCCAGGCAGGTCGCTTTTGTAAATCACAGAGGACTCCCACATGACACAGTACCTCATTCTTTAACAGACAGAACAAAGAGATAGAAATAATTCCAGTAAGGAAATCTTAATGTCACACCCATGAAAATCCTTTGAAGAATGACTCACAGGAAGGTCTACAAATGAGGCAGACAGCCTCAGTCTGCACAGGCAGGCAGGCAGAGTCTGCATTTGGCAAGGTCGTCAATACCAAGGTCACCAGCACACTCCTACCTTCCGTTTTCTGCTGTAAAACAGTCGTCAAATGCTCTATAGCTTCATCCACATGCAGCCCATGGAGGTCGAGGACGTTCTGCGGCAGCAGAGAGGCGTTGACTTTCTCGAAGATCTCCACAGCAGCCAGGTGATTGGCCTCTTTCATCTTCTGCTCGTGGAGACTGCCCTTTAAGCACAACAGCGGCCACTTTCAGTAGCCATCACCTAGTCCAGTGGTCCCCAGCCTTCCCCATGCTGCGGCCCTTTACTGTAGGGCCTCATGCTGTGCTGACCCCCGTCATAAATGTATTCCTTTGCTACCTCAGAACTGTAATTCTGCTACTGTTAGGAGTCATAATGTAAACATCTGATGATATGCAGGAGATCTGATATGCAGGAGATCTGATATGCTGGCTCCTTTTGCGACCCACAGGTTGAGAGCTGCTGACTTAGACAATCAAGAAGCAAAAGTGCCCTAAAAATCAGAGCCCAGTGGTGGCGCACGCCTTTAATCCCAGCACTCGGGAGGCAGAGGCAGGTGGATCTCTGTGAGTTCGAGGACAGCCTGGGCTACAAGAGTGAGATCTAGGGAAGGCCTCAAAGCTACACAGAGAAACCCTGTCTCGAAAAAACAACTAACCAAACAAACAAAAAACAGAACATTAAATCTAACATCTTGATGTAACAAGCTAAAAGACAAGGATGAACCAAACTTTGGGAAATTTCAGTAACTAAATAATATTGTTCTTAAACTACTCAATCATAGTTTGTAAAGTGAAAATAAAAAATTCTTTAACAAAAATCATAAAAGGAAACAGTAATATTTGGCTCAAGAACTAACTGGTTTAATGCCTGATTAATACAAATGTATTCTCTGATAGTCCTGGGCCTCGGCTTGACGATCCCTTCAAGGGTCTTCTCCAGTTACCTCCCCAGGTCTGCTGCTGGGCCTCCTAGAGCTGTACTGTTGGGCACTTCTGTCTGTTAGTAACCAGAGTGGGCGTGGGGGGCCACAAAAAAGAAAATAACTACCGTGCACAGTGAGCCCAGCAAGAAATTGTATTCTCTTGAGAAATATGACTAACTTTTCTTCTTTGTGAACATAAAAGTGATGCTGGGAGGCTAGGGGAGTGGCTCGGGGTTAGGAACGCCTGCTGGCCTGCTGTGCAAGCTTCCGACTTGAGTTCATGTCAATGTAAAAAGCGGGGCATGCCTGGATGTGCCTTAGCCCCAGCATCAGGGGAAGAGACAGGGAGACCCCGGAAGCTGAAAGGGTGAGCATCCGGTTTAGTGCTTCCTCACTGCCTGCCTTATGGCAGTAAATGGGAAGTGACAGTGGAGGATGCCCGGTATCCTCTTCTGGGCTGAGTGCACAGGGACATGCACTCCCACACGCCTGTGCACGTACCAAATACACACACACACACACACACACACACACACACACACACAAGTAAATGAATAAAGCGCCTTATTAAAAATCCAAACATTACAGACAATGTAAGACTCCAGTCTAAGACAAACTTTTCTGCTTTCTTTCCTCCAAGAAACTTCTATCTGCTCAGACATGCGACTGAACAATAGACTGCTCAGGAGACCACTCGGTGATTTGATTTACTCTAAAGGAAAATACATCCAAGACACTGTAATTCGGGAACTACACACACACAGAAGCAGTGACGGGCGAGAAAGCAGACGAAGTCCTCACAGTCATGGGACTCTCTCAGACTGGGCTATTCTATACGTCACCTACATGGTCTCTAAATTCCTCCCCAAACAATCATTAAACCAAAATAGTAAGGGGCTGGAGAGATGGCTCAGAGGTTAGGAGCACTGGCTGCTCTTCCAGAGGTCCTGAGTTCAACTCCTAGCAACCACATGGTGGTTCACAACCATCCGTAATGAGATCTGGTGCCCTCTTCTGGCCTGCAGTCATACATGCAGGTAGAACACTGTATACGTGATAAATAAATCTTTTATATATATATAAACTTAAAGTGAGCATCATGTGCTTCAGACTACTTAAACTGGTAACAGACTGTAATCAGCTCCCCACTTCACCTGCTGAGCGTAGAAGGTGGCCACGTTCTTCTTGCCCATGCGGTAGGCCTCCTTGGCCTTGCTGTAGCACTCCATCCTCTTCTGCTGGTGCAGGAACGCCTCTGCCCTGTAGTCATCATACTCAGGGTACTCAAAATCCTGGAAAGACGCGTCACCTGTGGGATCATCACTCTCTCTCGATTTCTTTGCCTAGAAGAACACAACATGTAAAACACAGATAAAGATTGAAAAATGGATGTCTTACCACCAGAAAATGCATAGACAAACCAGTCTGTGGGTCAGGGTGGTGGCACGTGCCTGTAATCCTAGTACTTAGCTGGGAAGAAAAGCGGGAAGATCAGACAACCAGATGTGTTGAGAGTGGTATGATCATAAACAGACAGGACAGTCAGGGCAGCCTTGGCTACACAGTAACTGGAAGCCAGTCTGGACATCCGAGACTGAACAAAAGGAAAAATCAGTCAGGAATGGTGCTGCATGCAGACCTTTAACCTTAGCACTTGGGAGGCAAAGACAGTCAAATCTCTGAGTTCAAAGCCAACACAATCCAGCTTGGTCTACAGAGAGTTCCAGGACAGCCAGGACTACACAGAGAAACACTGTCTCCAAACAACAAAAACAAAACAAAACAACCCCTTCCAAAAAAAAAAAAAAAAAGAAAGAAAGAAAAGAAAAAGCCATCGAAATAGACTCTTCTCTTTCTTCTCAGAAGAGATTTCCTCCGTGTCTACATTGTAAGTCAAGCATGCAATACCATTTGCTTTTTCAAGTTAGTAACATTACCCATTCCTTAACCACTTTTAGGAGACACTGAAATATTCTTCAAAATCATTAAAATATAATCAGATCATAAATCAAGCCAAAAGATAGAAGGTAAGATAGTCAGAGAGCAGTATGAATGTATTCAGCACAGAAATCCAAGTTTTGGTTTGTGGTTAAGCCTATTCAAAAGTTTCAAGCCTTGGATAGTGTTGCACACCTATCCTCCCAGCACTCAAGGGCAGAGGCAGGTCATTCTTCAAGGTTCAAGACATATACTCTTGCCTACACAGGGAGAGATTGCTAGCCAGAGATACAAGATGTCTTGCTTTAAACAAAGAAACAAAAAGTTTCATGGTGACAATGAGCATTTTCAACTTACAGTTTTTTTGTTTGTTTGTTTGTTTGTTTGTTTGTTTTTTTGGTTTTTCGAGACAGGGTTTCTCTGTGTAGCTTTGCGCCTTTCCTGGAACTCACTTGGTAGCCCAGGCTGGCCTCAAACTCACAGAGATCCGCCTGACTCTGCCTCCCGAGTGCTGGGATTAAAGGTGTGCGCCACCACCGCCCGGCTTCAACTTACAGTTTTTAAAAGCCAATGAAAAGCAAATAATTAAAAAGCAACAAAATACCTCGTGTAGTTTTCATGGCTGATAGTAAAAGTCATAAATACACTTATGGGTCAGTTTCAACCTACCATTAGCCACCATGGTCAGTTAGAGAAATTCAGTAACCTTTTAGAATCAACCCTGTCCCTCACGATCCCAGTATCATGGAGGCCAATCAATCTGACTGAGAATAGTATAAGCTACATGGCAAGATCCTCTCTCAGAAACCAAACACAGCAACAAAGTGTGTTTGTGTGTATGCACCCACAGGTGTATGTGATATAATTATTATCTATAACATATTCTTAGAGACTTCTCCAATGTAAAACAGAAGATAAAATGATAATTATGCAAACTGTCCATATGCTTTCCATTAAGTAAGAAAACTGTATTTTTTAGATAATATTCTCTGACAGTATATCCAAATGTCTTTAGAATATCAAAAGCTAATGTTTAAAAAATGAAATACAGTAATCTCTAAGTCAACCTAGCTCCTCATTAATTCTCTTCTTCAAAGTTACTGTTTGCAGAGAACTGCTTGCAAACAGAATCTATGTCTTAGCTTTATCTTTTTTTTTCCCTTGTTTTGATTTTTCAAGACATGAATTCTCTGTGTATCCTTGACCATCCTGGAACTCGCTCTGTAGACCAGGCTGGCCTCAAACTCACAGAGATCCTCCTGCCTCTGCTTCCTGAGTGCTGGGATTAAAGGTGTGCACCACCATCTATCAACTTAACTTTATCTTAATAGGTATATGTTTTCAATTAACTTCTTTGATACCTTAAAAGTATTGTTAAGTCATACATGTCTTACTATGTAATTTAATAAACATTTTATGTGTATTCAAAACCAAAACCAAACAAAATCATAATTTTAATACTTTAAAAAAAATGCTTTTATTGATATAATTATTTGATTAAGGTTACTTACTAGAATTTAACCAGCTGGAAAATACCATTTTGCTTGTAAATATTACCAAGAATTACATTTATAATATACTCTATAAGACAATCTTCAAGGACACATAGGCTTAAAATCCTAAAAGTCTATCATTTATAGTAATACTATAAAAATATTATATGTACTATATAATACACATATATATATCTAATTGATAAAAATAAGGAAAGAATTACAAAAACTGACCAAATACACAAATTAACAGTTGGTTACATAATTTCCTCACTAATACTTTGCTTAGATCCTGAGACTGTACAGACTTGAAATAATATACATCACCATGCCCTTCAAAAAACTTGAGTCAGGCATGGGGGCCCACACCTTTAATCCCAGCACTTGGGGGACAGAGACAGATCTGAGTTTGAGGCCAGCCTGGTCTACATAGAGAGTCCAGGCTAGCCAGGGCTACACAGAGAAACCCCTGTCTCAAAAACAAACAAAATGTAGAGATGGCTCAATGGTTAAGAGGACCTGATGCTCTCACAAAGGCCCTGAGGTTGGGTTCCTAGCACCCACATGGAGGCTCACAACCTTTTCTAACTAGAAGCCCTGCACATACATGGTAAACATATATATACATACATGCAGGTAGAATAACCAAATACATAAAATAAAAATAAAAAAGCAACAACAGAAAGTTTTAATGCTGATACAAGATTAATATGTAAAAATCAATTATATTTCTATGGATTTATTATGAGTAATCCAAACATAAATAAAACAATTTTAAGGTCAAATAGAGAAAGCACTTAAGAAAAAGTTTGGCACTCAAGGTTACATGTTTCTGCCCACATATTTAGATTCTAAGATCTAGGGTACAATAAAAACCACAGCTACTCAAGTATGCCTCATACTTACTGTGTCTACCAAGGAAAGTCTACACATAACCTACAGGAATTTAAATGCTTATCATGGAATCAATATATTCAACAAAAACATGTAAGTATAAATTCATTCTTTGGAGTACACAGATATTCTAAACCAAATATGTTATTGGTCATTAAACTTTCAACATAGTCAAAAGGGGGAAAAGTAATCACTTAACTATTATACTCAATAAGCAAACCATATTTTATATACATTTATTTGCCAACAGAATAAAAGATCAAATCACTCCGTACCTTCTTCTCTTTCGATTTCTGTGCAGGATGAGAAGTGATGTTCTCATTTTGGTGAACACATTCCTGAGCTACCACTGTTTTCACGGGGTCTCCTTCAAGAACACAGTTTAGAAACTGTACTGTGTGTTCCAGTGAATAGCTGTTTAAACATAATGTTAAGAAAATGAAAGTTCTGTGGCACAAATTCAAGCAATTTCTAAGTGTGGAGATGGCTCAGTGGTTGAGACCCTGGCTGTTTCTGCAGGGAACCCAGGTTTTCCCAACAGTCTGTGACTCTTGGTTCCAAGAGATCTAATGCCCTCTTCTGCCTACTGAGAGCCTCAGACACACATGGGGTGCACATACATACATATATGTAGGCAAAAACTCATATACATAAAATAAAAAATAATACTAAAAAATTTTTAAGTATAAGATAGATTCAAAAATGACCTCTGAGAAATCTCAGGAAAAATAATGAGTAATTGGGTCTCAATTTTTTTTTTTTTGTTGTTGTTGTTGTTGTTGTTAAGATAGGTCTCACAATATAGTCCTAGCTGCTTTGGAACTTGCTACAAAGACCAGGCTGGCCTGAACTCACAGACATCTGCCTGTCTCTGCCTCCTTAATGCTGTCAAAAAGACAAAACAAAACAAAACAACCTTTTTTTTTTTTAAGTAATACTAAGGATCTGTTTTCCATGTATGGATGTTTCACCTGCGTGTGTGTGTGTGTGTGTGTGTGTGTGTGTGTGTGTGTGTGTGTGTGTGTGTGTGTACCACACGCATGCCTGGTACCTGAGGAGGCCAGAAGAGGCATCAGGCTTCCTGGAACTGGAGCTGCTGACAACTGTAAGCCCCCATGTGGGTGTTAGTGATCTAACTCTGGTCCTCTGAAGTGCAGCCCCCATGTGGGTGTTAGTGATCTAACTCTGGTCTTCTGAAGTGCAGCCCCCATGTGGGTGTTAGGGATCTAACTCTGGTCCTCTGAAGTGCAGCCCCCATGTGGGTGTTAGTGATCTAACTCTGGTCTTATGAAGTGCAGCCCCATGTGGGTTTTAGGGATCTAACTCTGGTCTTCTGAAGTGCAGCCCCATGTGGGTGTTAGGGATCTAACTCTGGTCCTCTGAAGTGCAGCCCCATGTGGGTTTTAGGGATCTAACTCTGGTCTTCTGAAGTGCAGCCCCATGTGGGTATTAGGGATCTAACTCTGGTCCTCTGAAGTGCAGCCTACACTCTTACCCACTCAGCCACCTCTCTAGTCTAAGACTCTGAAGGTTTTTAACAATCATCATCATCATCATCATGGGCAAAAACTCAAAAGGTAAAGGTTCTTGCTGCCACACCTGACGCCCTGAGTTTGATCCCCAGGATCCACTTGTTGAAAAGGGAGAGAGAGCCAGGTCTCACATGTTGTCTTCTGACCTGCACACTTACACCTTACTGATTGCACACACAATAAATAAATGAACGAATGAACAAGTGAAAAATTCAGGTGTCTGGAAAACATGTTTAACCTAATTGAACACTATACAATGTACATATTCATCAAAATTATATGACTCATTAATATGCATGATTTTGTGTTATATACCAGTCAAAATTAACTGTGCTGGGAATGTGGCCAGATGGTAGAGCACTTGTCTAACATGCAGGAAGCCCTGGGTTTGATCCCCAGAACTATACAGAACTGGCCATGATGGCAGATACCTGTAATCCTAGCCCTTGAGGCAAAAAGGTCAGAAGTTCAAGGTCATTCTTAGCTACACAGCAAGTTTAAGGACAGCCTGGGACACATGATTTTAATAAAACAAGGACGTGTGGGGTCCTGGGTTCAATCCATGTAAGTACCATAGTAGTAGTAAGAGGTAATGCTGATAACTCAATTTCTAATTTCTTGTAATTATTTATTTTGGAGTCAGGCTCAGGTTATGCAGCCCTTGTTGGTGGAGAACTTGCAGCATGCCTGTAGCCTCCATGCTGAGTTCTAGGCCTCATTTGAGGAACATTAGCTGCACTGTTTCTTTTAATTGCATCACCTATATCCCATAAGTCTTTGGGATCTATACATAGTTTCAATTTCCTTCCAAAATCCAACGCAGATAAACACCTCCATGTCGATATCTGTATTATAACAACACTCCTTAACACCATGAGGGTCTCGTTTAAAAATAGAAGCAAAGCACTGTCTACCCCTCAGCCCCATGTTAGCTGCACGGGTTTCTCATGGGGAAAAGGTAACAAAAAATTAAAGAAAAAAGTAACATGAGGGCTTGGGGATTTAGCTCAGTGGTAGAGCGCTTGCCTAGCAAGCACAAGGCCCTGGGTTCGGTCCTCAGCTCTGAATTAAAAAAAAAAAAGAAAAAGAAAAAGAAAAAAGTAACATGGAATACAAACAGCTAGAAAATTTCACTTTCTGTATTATATGTATTAAATCTAAATTTAATTATTTATATGACATTTAATCAGAAGATGAACACTAGAGATTGTTTGGGATATACCACCAGTGACATCAGAGTGGTAACCAGCCAGGCTTTCCAACACTCACTTGTGGTCTTTGAAGATGTCCACCAGGAAATTTTGGTTAATGGCTGGAAATATTTTAAAAAGCTGCTTCTCCTTTAGTTTGGTGGCACAGTCTTTTTCAAATATAAGTGTCTCCCTTTTCTAAAACAAAACAGAAAAAAAAATCACCCTTAAGATGAAATTTATAAGCCAGACAATACTGAACAAAAGCCTAATTATTTTGTTGCAAAAAGACCAACGATTTATAAGCAATCACAGACTTTCCTCACTGATCAAAGGCTGAAGTTAGTAATATAAGTATTCTTACACTATTTACTTATATCCCATTTTTGTCAAGTATTTGAGGGAGTCCATAAATACATATAATCACATACATACATATACAAACCCAACACAGTCTATTACATGGTTTAACAAGGATGAAGCGACATAGAAAGTCATGAACCACATCACAACGTTTCATTAAATGAGGAGCCCCACCTATAATGGCATATGCTGTACCATACAGCCTAAGTAAACCCTACTAGGCTGGTGTAAATACACTATGATATTCACACAACAAATCAGCTAATAATGCTTTATTTGGGATATCATTCATCTTTAATCAATGTAACTGTCTATTAAAAAACAGGATATAAATAAATAAAGTCAGAGATTAGAGAAAATAAAGGCAAGAATACAGGATAAAGCTAGCAAGTAAAATTAGTGTGTAAGTCCATGCCACAGAATCCTGTACAGTTGCTACAATTCAGTTCTGAGCCCTTAGTGGCCAAAGCAAAGGAGGAGGAAGCGCCTCAGTGTCCATAAATGTAAAACAAACCAGTCACTCAGGAGCAGTATAGCTTCTCTGGGACTGAAACCCGAGAGAAAATGTTTTCCCTGAGTACTCATTAAGGGATACTGTGTAATGCTGTGAACGTTCTCAAAAACATGTTCTCCTCAATGGACCGAAACTACAATGTATAAATGTCACAAATTCAGGGGGACCAAAAATCTTAGAACTCCTAATTACTTAAAATTTTTTCACAAATACATTTACCCAAAAATAACAATATGAGTATTAATATTTTTCACAATCCATAAAGCTACCTATCCAGAACTACTACTCCTGCCAGGCAGAGTTGCATATGCCTATAATGCTTGATTTTAAGGAGTTCAAGGACAGTCTGGGGTATAAATTGAGATCCTAGCACAAAAAGTTAAAATTTAACTTAAATAAGTAAATAAAGTCAAACTATTAGACTAACTGAACTTTCCTAAAATACAACCTTTCGCTGTCCACCCACCCATCTGACTGACATGTAGTGGCATGCACTGTATGCCCCCTGGGGAGTCTCCACAGTGATCTTCCTCCAAAAGCTCAGGTCATAGCACACCCAATTTTTAAAAAACATTTTATGATGGTGTTGGGAGATTTGAACTCAAGTACTCATGCCTGGCATCAAGTATTCTGACTCCCTGAGCCATCTCCCTAGTCCTTAGAATTCTTTCAAATTCTAAACTAAGATGATGATAAAGATTCTTAAAGTAGCCAGGCAATAGTGGTGCACGCCTTTAATCCCAGCACTTGGGAACCAGAGGCAGGCGGATCTCAGTGAGTCTGAGGCCAGCCTGGGCTACAAAGTGAGTTCCAGGACAGGCACCAAAACTACACAGAGAAACCCTATCTCGAATAACAACAATAAAATAAAAAAAAAAGAATAAAATATTTCAAATATGCTCTATAGCCTGACTTTACACCACTACCCCCAAAACAATCCTCAGTGCTATTGAGTTCCTAGTGACCCAACAGGCCATCCATCATGTTTCTAAACTATGAATTCTAACACGGACAGACTATCAACTCAAGATCTTATCATCCTACAATGAAGGTTTGTGCTTTAGTGATTAGTATATGTGAAGTTTCCTTCCTATTTCTTTCTTCCAGAGATATACAAAAGGGTTTTCTCTCCTTTGGGACCAGTGAAAATGAAACATCAAGAGACTCTCTTATGGAGGCTTCATTTAAAGTGAGGATGCTTTTTAAAAGAGTATTCTCTGGACCAAGGTGTCTACTTATTTTTTTTTTTTTTTGATACAGGGTTTCTTTGTGCAGCCCTGGCTGTCCTGGAACTCACTCTGTAGCCCAGGCTGGCCTCGAACTCTGAGATCTGCCTGCCTCTGCCTCCTGAGCTCTGGGATTAAAGGTGTGCACCACCACCGTGCAGCTATTGTCTTCTATTACTCAATTTGTTTAAAAAAAAAAAAAAAGGAAAGGGAAAATTACTGATAGAAAAAAAAAAATGCAAGGCAGGAGGTGGTGGCACACGCCTTTAATCCCAGCACTTGGGAGGCAGAGCCAGGCGGATCTCTGTGAGTTCCAGGACAGGCACAAAGCTGCAAAGAGAAACCCTGTCTCAAAAAAACAAAACAACAAAAAAAAAAGCATTAAATTGTAAAAAGTCAAAAGACAGTCATTTGTTAACTACTAGTGAAATTATGAGGCAGGTCAGAAACAAAAGATAAGTTTCAGTGATGGATACCGCATTTAGCAAAACTGTTACAATATTCAAGCCTAAAGTTAGGTTTTCCTATTTCTTTGAAGAGAATCCATTTCTCCAGCTCCCTCCACATAGATGAAGAAGGGTATCTGAAGCAGCAGTCCAGCTGTAAGACAGTACTTGAGGCTATTTGACACAGGGTGCAGCGCCAGGCATTGTCATGGAGGCAACAGGGGAAAGTGAGTGTGGAGAATGCCTCTGCTCCTCCTGCACTGACCCAATTCCGTGTACTGCAGCCAAATACAAAAGGGCACTCGGGGTCACACAGTAAACGTACCACGTCCTGGTCACCACTTACAGATCACTCCTTCCCTCGATAGCTGGACTAAGTAACTTCCAAAACCTTCCCCTTTTAATTCTTAAGATCTTTAGTTCTCATTTTCAAAATGAAAAATGAAAAAGCTAAAAAGAAATGTGAAAGAAATTGGGGCTGGACAGATGGCTCAGACTGCTCTTCCAGAGGTCCTGAGTTCAATTCCCAGCAACCACATGGTGGCTCCCAACCATCTATCTGTAATAGGATCTGGTGCCCTCTTCTGGCCTGCAGTCATACATGCTGTATATATAATAAATAAATATATCTTTAAAAAAAAAAAAAAGGAAAGAAAAAAGAAATATGAAAGAAATCAAATTTACCAATGGCTGTGAAAAACAGAAAGTAAGATTTAAAATAAAGTTTCTATGTGAACTTTAGCTGAAGAGTAGAAGGGGAAAAATGAATTATAAATACAAATTCCTAAGTTTCTGAGATTTTTTTCTGTTTTTTTGTTGTTGTTGTTTTGTTTTAAATTTAAAGATAAGCCGGGCGGTGGTGGCACATGCCTTTAATTCCAGCACTCGGGAGGCAGAGGCAGGCGGATCTCTGTGAGTTCGAGGCCAGCCTGGGTTACCAAGTGAGTTCCAGGAAAGGCGCAAAGCTACACAGAGAAACCCTGTCTCGAAAAACCAAAAAAAAAAAAAAAAAAAAATAGGCACATCTTTAAAAAGCAATATAATTATTGTTACTAAATAACATATAATACTATCTTCAAATGAAAGATTTCATATTTTCCTATTAGTAAAAGATTACAGAAGCAAATGTTAAAAACTAACAATGGCAGGACTGTGATGGTGCACACCTTTAATCCCAGCACTTGGGAGGCAGAGGCAGGCCCAGTCTACAGAGTGAGTTTCAGGATCGCCAGGGCTACACACAGAGAAACCCTGTCTCGAAAAAACAAAAACATCAACAAAAATACAGCTTACAAACACATACTTAACACAGATGACCTATGTATGTCAGAGTAGCAACTAGCTAGAAGCAAAGCCTCAACCACACTCTATTTAAAACATTTTTCAGTTTTAATATTGGCTTGAGACAAGTTAAGTATGAAGTCAAGATCAGGATGCACAGAATTAAATGAAAATCACATGCTAAACAACACCGCAGTCGGAGACCACGGACGAATATCTGTGCCAACCCATACCAAATCATGTTTCTCTTGTAAGGCGATTTCTTCTGACATTATTTCTCGCAGTGAAACTTTTTTTGTTTGAGTGTTCCATGGATCCAGTGTCTCAGGTACTGCTAAAGTCTTCAATAATTTTTTGCCTGTTTTCTGAGATGATTTTTGTTCAGAATTATCAAGAACAGCAGTCCCAGCCATCAAAGGATCTACAAGAGTAATAAAGTAGTGTCATGTACTCAGCAATTGATGTACAAATTAAGAATTAGTCACAAGACAAAAGAAACACGGAATTTTAAAATGCTTTTCAGCTTGTAAATATAACACGACTGTGAAATTTCAAAATAAACCTTCACATAACTACAAGGAAGAAATGCTAATACAGGACTATTTCAAATGAGCAATGACCTAGGTGTAACTATCAATCAGCTCAGCGCTTCCCACTCCCTCCCTTCCCGACAAAACAGTCAAAGCTGGTAGTGAGTACTGCAGAGGTCTCTGCTTAGTTAGCCACTCTATTGTTCCCAGAACTGAGAAGAGCAGCGTGCTGACGAATACTAACAGACCAGAGACGTACTGTAAAGACCGAGTGAGTGAAGTATATTGAAAATGAGGAACAAACCACACAGTTCAAGTGATGGCAGTCAACACCTCTAAGGGATACAGGCACATTCCATGGGGAGTGAAGAAATGGCAGCCACTGCAGCCATTAGCATTTATAGAACTACAATATGAACCAGCCACTTCTACCCTCAGCCAGCTTTATCTGTTTAAATATTTTTATTCATTCTTTGAAAATTTCATACATTATTTTTGATCACATTCATCTCCCTCTCCCATCTCCTCCCAGACCCACTCCCTATCCCAGATGGACCAAAATTTATGTCTTTCATTTTTTTCCCCCCAGAGCTGAGGATCGAACCCAGGGCCTTGCGCTTGCTAGGCAAGCGCTCTACCACTGAGCTAAATCCCCAACCCCTGTCTTTCATTTTTTAAGCCCATCAATCCTTATGAGGGGTGCCTATGTCTGAAATAAAGTGGAGCCCAAGCTCTTCGGCTGAAGGTCCTCGCCTTGGCTGCAGTGCGGAGTGTATAAAAGAAGTATTATCGATGCTCCTTACAAAAGGAGGGCCTTCTCACCAGACCTGTCCTGACAGGAATCACTGGAGACGAAGTCATCTGGAATCAAGGACCTTCAAGTTGGCAGGATTTGCCAAAAAGGCAGGTTTACCTTTTACTCTAAGACACCGATAGCAATAAAGATTTGAATAGCCAAGTAATAATCCTACAATGCTATCAAGAAAGTGAACCCAGATAGTTTTTCTCAATACGGAGCAAAAGCTTTCAAAGAGCACTCTGACAGCATGCATGAGCACACTCCACAGCAGTCAGGACAGACACGGTGTACAGCCTCATTTTCCTCTACGTTTCTCTTCTGCATCAAGATTCAACGGGATTTTTTTTTCTTGAGAGAACCTTTATTTGTAGCTGGGCATGGTGTGATCCCAGCAATCAAAAGGCTTACGAAGAAAGCATTGTGAATTCAAGATCAGCCTTGGCTACAGAAAAAGACTGTCTCAATAAATAAACAAACAAAAAGACAAGTTTAAAAAAGGATTTTTTTCATTTGCAAATCAAAATTCTTGGGGACATGGCTCAGTAAGTAAAGGTACCCACTGCCAAACCGGACAACCTGAGTTCAAGCCCCAGGATCAACATGGTGAAGACATCTACACTGTCCTCTGAACTCTACACATACACCACCTCAATCACACACACACACACACACTTATAATTTTAGAAATTGCTGGGTACCATATTTTGTGGAAGTACATTTAAAATGAGTTAAGACATGCACACCAGTGGTGGTGGCGCATACTTTAATCCCAGCACTCGGGAGACAGAGGCAGGGGGATCTCTGTGAGTCCCAGGACAGCCAGAGCTACACAGAGAAACCCTGTCTCGAAAAACCAAAGGGGGGAGGGGAGAATAAAGATGCACACTGCCCATTTGAACATCAAGACCAAGTGAGAGTCAGAACGCATCTTTTACCTTGACCGCACTTGCCGCAAGACACCTCGGCCTGTCTCTGTCGCTCCTGCACACAAAGGCAGAACAAAGATTGGCAAAGGATGGGGTGCTGGGAACAAAGCTACAAAATTTTATCAGTTCTCTCTAGAAATCAGCTCTTCTTGAGAGTTATAAATCATTAAAATTAAGTAAAACAGTGAAACTATGTAAGTGAAATTACTAAGGATAGCTACATTTATACATATTTTCCCTACTTACAAAGCTCTATTTTAAGATTTATTTTCATTATTTTTTAAAATTTCATGCATGTGTGTAAGTCTGCACGTGGGTATGTGCAAAACAAACACAGGAACTAACTCTTCAAATAAGGAAGCTACCAACCATTACAGAGTCTCTCCATTTCTCATGAATCACTTTAGCCAGATTCAGATCTATATGAACCACACAATCTTCAACTGTTAGAGACCCTTGTGAAGGGAAGAAAAAAAAAGAAAATATCATCATTACTCATCATTCATTTGCAGAGAATGCACTCAACTATCATATGCATAAAACTACATTTTGTCATTAACCACGAACACATTTCTATATACTTGAAATGTTTCTATGTTCTATGCATGGTTTTCATACTTGGCTGCTGCAACATGCAAAGCTTCCTAACAATCTATTTCAGTTGTTTGCATCTCCATGCCTTAACTACTGTGCATTCCTTTAGTTGAGACTTTCCATAAGTGTGTTCTAGGAAATTACTTCCTGCCTTAAATATATCTGAAATAACACCAAAAGACACAAAGTTCATGTCTGCAAATAAATTTCAGGTAAAAATTAGAGAAACTATCAATATATTCATGGATATATTGAGATATAAAATCCTATGTAAATATTCTCCACTTCAAATTAATTGTTTTACATCCCTTAAAAAACGTGTCACGTCAAAAATAAGGTACTATGTAAAATTATGTGACATAAATTACTGATATTCAGCCAACGAAACAATTTGCAACTGAAACAGAAACTTGTATATTCTATTTACACACACACACACACACACACACACACACACACACACACACACACACACACACAGAGATAATTTACTTTTTCCTTACCTGAATCAATACCAACTGGGCCAAATAATTCACTAAGTTGGAAAGCCAGCTCAGGGGGTAGTGCCAGCTCCAGACAGTCTATGGTCAGAGATTTGGCCATTACTGGTGTGGGATTCAATACCTCGGTTTTATCCTCTTCACTAACTCCAGCTGACAAACCAGTTCCTGGCATTAGAATCTTCTCCATTTCCTGTTTATCTTCACTGATAAATTCTTCCACATTTCCAAATTTCACATAATCCTTAGGAAGAGTCTCATTTTTCCTTACTTCCAAAGACCCAGTAAGATAAACTTCTTCGTTTAATTCAGGATCTGAAGTGCTCGTTGCAGAGTTTATGATATCAGACAAGTTTAAAAAAGAATGAACGTTGCCTCCAGTCTCTGTGGCTACTAGATTCTTCTCCACTTCACTAACATCTTTGAGGATGTTAGATTTTGGAGCAAGTGGAAGAGACCCCTTAAAGCTATAGGCGCCTGACAAATCAGTTCCACGGTTAGAAACGATTTCATTATTACACTTTACATTGATAGCAGCATTAGGAAATAGTCTGCTTAGTAATTCAGGGTTTTCAGGAGTTGTAGCTCTTATCTCTTCCTGCTTTGAGTTTCCTTTTTCTGCCTCACCAGTGGACTGTGCATTAGTGTTCCTGATACCAATCCCAGGGTTAAATTCTGACACAAAATTTAAATCTTCTGAGGTTCCTCTGTGGCTAATAATTTCCTTCAAATCCAACCCCATAGAAAATGGCCCAACTTGTGACTCATCATACGATTTGGGGGGATTCTCAACCTCGGTATCCTCACATAATTTAGTCTCAGAATCCAACAAAAGGCTTGTGGCCCAAATAATATCTTTATTACATCTCTCATATAAATCTTTCAGGGCTTCCAAGGAAAATGATCCAAATAGTTTACACAGGATGTTAAGATTTTCAGACTCGTCAGCATTGGTGAGTTCACTTTCTTCAACATACGTACTTTTATCATGCATGACTCGGTATGGAATTGCTGCTTGAACATTTAACTTTGTATTAGTAGTGAAATCTTTTGGCTTAAACCCATCTAATTTTCCTGTTAGCACTCTGACAGAATCTGAAACACTGATTTTATTCTTTTCTAGTTTCCACAAGAGAGCAAAATCTTGGGGCTCAGTCTGGGCACATACGCTTGTATCTATCCCAGAGACAACCCTAGACACTCCGACTGCTAGAGACCGAGGCCCCACGACCCCAGGCGGAGCCACGACCCCAGGCGGAGGAGCTACCGCACTAGCGGAAAAGGGGAGGGGCAGAGCGGGCTGGCTAGGAACCGTTTTACTCAGGGAGGTCTGCGCTTCATGAGCTGTTTTACTAGGCAGCATTTCAGAACTTCGCAGAGTGGAACCCAGAGACTTCAGTTCTTCGGGGCTTGTGCCCCAGTAGGCCTCATGTGTGGGATACAGGGGTATTTCACTCATGCTGTCATTAGTTCCAAACTCTAAGTTGGCTTCATTTAGGCCAGCTTTTGGCATTCTCGACCTGGGCTCTCTCTGAGCTAAAGAAGCAGATGAGGGCCAGTCACCCACAATGCTGAACGAGGTTTGCTCAGTACCTTTGTAAGCATCGTACTGACCGCTACTGGGCACTTCTGAAAGATCTTCGATGCCATGTGGAGATCCTCGCTGCTGGACGTGATCCGTATTCATAGATACCCTAGCATCTGATACTTTGTGCGATGGAGGGCGATTACATTTTTTGTCACCTTGTACAGATAAACCTTTCTCGGTTTTCCGGTTCCTTTTGGTCCTCTGGCTAATTGTCTTATCAACTGGCCAGTCACCAACAAAATTTGATGGCTCATGCTTTGGGAACTTTTCCAAAGATGATTTGCTTTTTTGTTTTCCAATGATCTTTTTCTTTCCTGCTGTTCTTTCTTCCAGGATTTCAGGAGGTGGGGGGTTCTCGCTCTGAAGGGTCCCAGCACTTGCGAGCTCACCCGCTTCTGGACTGTCCTCAGCACAGTAACCACTTGGGGGTGCCCCCTCCGCAGGGCTCCAAGCATCTGCCTCAACGTGCGCTTTCGGTGTCTCTTGCTCTGTCTCACTCTTGTCTGTGGCCGGAACTTTGCTTTCCGAGTGAGGAAGACAGGTGCTTGGGGCTTCCTGCAAGAAGGGGCTGTGTCCACCATGACCCACAACACTCATCTCCTTTCTTCCTCGGCTGAAACTGGCCTGAGGGACGGGGGCAGCACTCTCAGGGAATATCGCTTCTTTGGCTGCTTCAAGTGTCTTCTCCTCCATTAACTCTAAGCGCTTCACAGGTGCGGATAAGACATTTTCTTCCTTTTCAGAGGTAAGAGCTTCATTGTCTCTTGGGCTACAAGACATTTTTTGAAGTGTGGTAAGAAAGTCTCTTCACGGTACCATTAACATTGTGATTTAAATTAAAGAAGCATGCAACCAGACAGCATTTAGCATTTGTTCTAAATATTCAAAAGTAAATTACACAAAAATTATAAAAGCTGGAATGGGGATATAAGTCAGTAGTATTGCTCAGAGGCAGGGCACCTGCCAACAAAGGTGACCCCAGCCCTTGATTTCAATCCCCAGACAGTGGAAGAAACAGTTTAAGAGCGAATCCTAACCTTTCCCTGGAATATCAGGACCACACTCCTTTATCGCAGGCCCAGCACCTGCCACTACAAGCAGCACACACAGAGCAAACCCTGAGCCGGACCGTCACCTGGGGGTGTCAGTCACAGTGCTGTGCTGATCATCACGGTGAAGGTCCTAGATGTGTTCACATGAGTGGACATTACCTCGCTAGCTTATTCACACCCATAGCTCAGCATTATTTTACAGCACAGAGATCCATCCTATGTCCATCTGTCATTTATGTATTTATTAGAGGAAGCTTCATTGACAGAACTGTTTCTCAACCTGTGGGTCATGACCCCTTTTGGGGGGATCAAACAACCTTTTCACAGGGGTCACCTAAGATCATCGGAAAACACACAGACATTTACATTGCAATTCATAACAATAGCAAAATTACAGTTATGAAGTAGAAATAAGAATAACTTTATGGTTGGGGGTCACTACAACATGAGGAGCTGTATTAAAGAGTTGAGCATTAGGAAGGTTGAGAACCACTGATTTACAGGGTCACAAAACCAATGCTGTCAGAACACCGTTCATGAGTGAAGCTGTGTGAGCATATTTCTGACATCTTGTGAAAAAATACCAAGTAAACAAGACAAGAGTCTTGTAACCTATGTTTCTCCATAACATAGGCTGTTCCTGGAATGTGCATCATGCCCCTCCCAGGTGTAGTAAATAAAAGTGGGTTTACTTCATATTACCCATAATATTACTATTATTATTCAGATGTTTCCGAGGATAGGTCGTCCTGATTGTGTACAGCCTAAACTCATGTGACCTTGCCCTGGCAACTGTATCCAACTTGAACTAAAGTAAACTTTGTTCACATGACCTAAGCCCTCAGAACATCCTCAGGATATAAACTGTCTGATGCCCTGAATAAAGTTGCTATTGCATGAGACTTTAGTCTCCCTATTTTTAGGCTCCTCTCTCCCAGGTTCACTCCACCAACTAGAGCGGTAATACAACATGATTTGTGTGAGTAAGAAAAACTGAAGAAGCTGGGTGTGGTGGTATTACAGAGACAGATGAGATCAGGAAGCTCTCAGTTAAGATGTCATCTGTTAAATGTTTAAGAACCATCTTGGACACTCTGGACACTCTCCACCTCCATGACTTGTTCTTGTCATTCCAAAATAATTTCCAAAATTATTCTTTTTTCAATTCATCTTCCTTTATCTTATGAATTCTCAAAGTCCCAACTCTCCTATTAAGCTTTACCTAACATTAACGGAATTCTCTAAGGGAAACGTAAGAGTAGGTTTACTAAAACCTAAAAAAAAATGAAAGTAATATGGATGTATGCAAAAAACAATTAAGAGAAAAAGGAAAATACTAAATAAAATAAAAATAAAAATACAAGTGTATTCGTTGTGTAACCACAGATTTAAACTCTCAGCTCAAAGGGAAAAACCTCTCATCTTTCACATGAATTTTTATTTCTCCTGCTAACATCCCCTGCTGACTCCAGGTGAAACTGGAGGATAGAAGGGATTTCAAAAGTCTTCAAAGTTATCATTAAAAAACGAAGCAGAGCCGGGTGGTAGTGGCCCACGCCTTTAATCCCAGCACTCGGGAGGTAGAGGCAGGCGGATCTCTGTGAGTTCGAGGCCAGCCTGGGCTACAAAGTGAGTTCTAGGAAAGGTGTAAAACTACACAGAGAAACCCTGTCTCAGCA